AAGGGACCCGCGCTCCCTTCCTGCTCCCCTTCCAAACTCCCTTGCGAAACTCCCTGTTAGCAGCCCCTGGTTGCTTGTGCGCTGCTTTATAAAGCCCTGGCCTGGGTGAATGCCCTGCCCACTGATTAAGGCTCAGCCAATTACCAGAGGCTTCTAGCCTTCAGACCTTCCTAGGAAGCTCACAGCTTCCAACTGCCAGCCACAGCACACAGTCCTTCAAACAACTAAACAAACAGACTAACAAACACAAGCTCAGCACACAGCAAGTAACCCCCAAACACAAACAAACACACACTACAGACAGTCACTTACCCCAAGGGTCCTGTATTTGCTCCTCCTTCACCTGGAGAACTCCCTTGTGAAACTCCCTGTTAGCAGCCCCTGTTCGCAAAAAGTATGCTTTCCATCATGGAAATGAAGATGTTGCTAGGGCAAAGGTTGGACACTTCATGATAGGAAACAAAACTAGAAGGTAAGTGGCCAAATGTGGATAGCTCCAATGTATGACAAGTTGAAGGAGGCTAGGCTACACTGGTAAAGGCATATCCATCAGAGAGCTATGTTGATAGGATAGCTATGGATTGTGGATGGAAGATGACCAAATGTCAGACCAAAGACTTGGTACATCAGTGGACCTCAGAAAGAGGTATCTGCATGACAGTCTAGCATACAATAATGAGTTTTGAAAGAAGGCTATATAAAAGCTGCTAACCCCAAATAAGGAAATGGCTAGAAAGAAGAAGAAACCACCCTTAGAAGATGCCATTTGCCAAAGCAACAGACCAAGTCAGAGACTTTGATCAAATGTGGCTCCCTTCTACCAATCATGTCAGAGGAAAAACTGCTTGGACCAATGGTGGAGTCCATTACTCTCCCCTAAATAAGTGAGAAATTATACTGCACTACATTGAATCTAAATGGGTCTTCAGCTAGCTCTGCCCCCTCGGGCTGGGATGCAATTAGTTAGTCACACCCAGATGCAAAGCATCACTCTACTTGCTTTCCCCCCTTCTCTAGAAAGGGGGTGTCACCCCATCACACAGTACTGCAGTTTTATCAGTAGAAGACAACATAATTACACACTTGACTGAGACAATCCATCTTGTAGAGGGCAATGATATGAACTGTGGGAGACCAGTCAGAGAAATGTTGTGTATTAGCTAATCTAAGGATGGGCTCCAATTTCAAAATTCAGATTTGTATTTCAAATGCCTTTGCATTTGGGAGTGTTTAGAACTGAGGTTTTGAGTCAGGCCCACCTTTGAACCCGACTGCAGCTTTACCATCACTTACTAAAATGGGCAAGAGTATTTGGAAGTTGACAAGGAAGGGTTGGATTCACAAAAGGACTTGAGGCACCTAAATCCCAGAAGCAAGTCCCAGTGGGATTCAGAAACCCTGCACTCAGCTGCCCTCTGAACTCTGTAGGTTCCTAAAATTGCTTGGTGTCTAAATTTTTGCAGTAAAAGTTCTCTGTGGGGAGTGGCCTAGGACCCCCATTGGTGCTGGGGGTAGGGGCCGCAGGGTGGCATGCAGCCTGGTATCCTTGCTGTTGTTGAGCAGGGTTGGCAGGGCTGGCAGGCTCCCTACCCAGCTCCGCATGTCCCTGTAGCACCTAGGGGGAGGGAAGGTCACGGGGGGCTCCCTGTGCTGCCCCCACCACAAGCTCCAGCTCTGCAGCTCCCATTGGCCAAGGGACATGTTGGCCACTCCCTGGGAGCCCCCCCACCCCAAGGTAAGCGCTGGCCTGCACCCAAACCCCATGCCCAATCCCTGAGCCCCCTCTCACATCCAAACTGCCCCTCCCAGCAGCCAGTGCTGCTGGCCCAGGGGCTGCCTGATCTACTTGGGCTGCTGACCCAAAGCCAGCTGCACTGGCCACTGCAGAAGTCCTGGAATCTGTGCCTGCCATGACCTCCATGACAGATACCACAGCCTTGACCATGGTGCACAACAACTCTGTTAGTTTTTGTCACGTGTTACATTTTCTTGAACTGCCAGAAACAAACGTTGTCAGTGTTGTTTGATTTTTGCCTTCTTTTTCACATGAAGCAGGGATGTTTCAGCTTCAAACGGTTCAGCATTGCTCCGATGCTGTTTGCATATCTCAGCTCTGTATTACACAGTTTACATTTAATGGTGTCTTCTGTTATTTTTGTGAAATGATTCTAGGCATTAATCCTTTTCGATCGCTCCATCTTCACTATGGAAGAGTAGTTACCAAAAATCGCGATAATCTACATGATGTTGTTTGAAGGTTTAACGCTACCAAAGTGTGATATCAGTTCCATAGCAACGGTCCTAACGCTATGAAATGGTATTGCTGTGGCATTTTTAATGTGCACATTGGTAAAATAATTTCGACACTGTAATACCTAATCTGTTTTAAAAGTTTACTGAATACATTAATGGTAAGACTGATGCTTATCGGCTAACCGTTTAATATTTTACATCCCTAGCGTCCAAGGAGACCGGACACTGCACAGAGAAACACTGCCCAGAGACGTGACTTAAGGGAGGATCTGAAGTAAGCCCCATAGTTGCAGAGCTCTCTCCCATCCAGCTTCTTCGTCCTGGCATGGTGGACGGCCATGTTGGCTGGTGCCAGGTGGAGGCCCCACGACTTTGTGGCCCCACAAATAAGGTGTATATGAATAAGGAGATGCAGGGAAAAGTGCAGCCAAAACTTGAGGAGGAGCAGCTGGAAAAGGGGCTGCAACCTGGCACACTTGATATAAATATGTGCCAGGGTCTCCCTCTCACCACAGAAGGAGCAGGTGTCAGGAGAGGTTGTGAACTGCACCAAGTACACACCTGTGCTTACAGCTCTATGAAGGAGCCCCTCAACTATTATCACCAGAGAAGGTTTGCAGCTGAAAATCTCAAGCAGAGGGAAGTGCCTTACAGTAGCCTGGACTTAGATGCCTACCTCTGAGAGGGGGCAGGGCTTGGCACACCATGCTCGGCTTGGCACAGCCTATTAGCTAGTTTAGGTGACAAACCATCTAGCACCCCATTCTGAGGCACCTCTCCCTCCCCATTCACTGTAAAGAGAGCTAGGCAACAAACTCTGGCTTTGTGATTTTCTAGACCCCTAGAAGTTAGATGTGGTGACGCACAGTGACACCATGCCTAAATCTCTTTGTGAATCTAGCCCACAGAGGAAAACTTGTCATTTTCCCTCTAGGTACAGTAGGTTGTTTCAAATTTAAAAAAAAACCAGGGAAATAATATTCATCACCTTAGATCTGACATTAATTTGCCAATAAGTATAAGACGGACATCAATATCATTACAAATATGGGAATGAAACAGGACTCTGGTTAAGCATGGATGCAACTTACTTTGCATTAATATTAAAACATTGTTTCTTTAAAACAAAAAAAGATTAAATTGGGAAAAGATTGCCAGAGGACAGTTGTTAAAAACTCATCATATTAAATTCAAGTGGAAATAAAATGAATTCATCAGGGGAATAAAGACTGAATGTCAGAACAATACCAGATATCCCCTTGCGCTAAGAAAATCTAAACTTCTTGCCTGTGCTTCATAGAGCTTCATAATTCAAAGAGAAGAAAGTACATTCCCTCAAAGTCTTTTTAACAAGCAGATCCTATTCTTTTTCCAAAGGGAGATCAGGGAATGGCTAGAGAAGTTTCATCAAAAGCTTTGCTAACTCACAGCCAAACTGTTTGATACCTTAGCAAAATCTCTCATTCCTATAGGCTTCACTAAGACTCACAGAGAGCTCCAAAGACATAGGCCATAATCAGATGCCCCCTGTCACTGAGGAAGACAGCAGCCATTAATGAATATGTTTGGGGGAGGGAAGAGGAGGGATGAGAACAGAGAAAAACATATCTGAAAGTCCCAGAGTGAAACTATATAAGTTATGGCCCAATTTTGACAAGCCTGGGCCACTCTGATGAATGTATATGGATGCGGCAATGAACCTGCACCTTGTCTCTCCATATGAATGCACAGCTACCATTGCATTGTGCAAATATTAGCACATGTCAAGGCAGAGGTTTATGACTAAGTGCATAAACATTTGAAATATAGCCCTATAAATGCAGTAGCTGTATGTACATCACTTATTGCTCAGTAAAGTATAATGCAGTGTATGACCTGCAAAGTGGGAACCTATTAAGTCTGGGGCACCATAAGCATGAGAGAGAACGTGGCATTATCATACTTCGGATGAGGTAATTCTCAGTGCTATCATCAATAATTAGGGCCCTACCAAATTCACAGCCATGGAAAACGCATCATGGACGGTGAAATCTGGTCTCCCCCTATGAAATCTTGTCTTTTGTGTGCTTTTACCTTGTACTATGTAGGTTTCACGTAGGAGACCAGCATTTCTCAAATTGGGGGTCCTGACCCAAAAGGGAGTTGCAGGGGGGGGTTGCAGTATTGTCACCCGTACTTCTACACTGCCTTCAGAGCTGGGTGGCCGGAGAGTGGCAACTGCTGGCCGAGCATCCAGCTCTGAAAGCGGCGCCCCGCCAGCAGCAGCACAGAAGTAAGAGTGGCAATACCATACTATGCCATCCTTACTTCTGCACTGCTGCTGCTGGCGGCAGCGCTGCCTTCAGAGCAGGGTGCCTGGCCAACAACTGCCTGATCTCCAGCTAGCCAGGTCTGAAGGCAGCGTTGCTGCCAGCAGCAGCACAGAAGTAAGGGTAGCAGTACCGCAACCCCCCTTACAATAACCTTGCGGACCCCCCCCCAACACACACACACACACACACCCCTCCTTTTTGGGTCAAGACTCCTACAATTTCAACACTGAAAATTCAGATTTAAATAGCTGAAATCATGAAATTTAGGATTTTTAAAATCCTTTGACCAAACTGGACTGGGAATTTGGTAGGGCCCTATCAATAATAGTCACACATCCTCTAAAAGAGCTTCAGAGAGGGCACCTGGAGTGCATGGAAACATGCCTCTTGAAAAGGGACTTTCACACTGAGGCAAACTTGAAAAATCATTTAAACAATTTCCTTTGACTGTAATTTTCTGTCTCTACTTTCTTCTCACAGCAGATCTGGCTGTTTAAGGGTGTTGTTCTTCCTCATACTGCAGGTTCTTATTCTGGTTAAGTCTCTAGTTAAGCAAGACCCTCTTTAGTGATGGGCAGTCTCAAAAGATTTGGCAAAGCAGTCTGAATAAACATCTTGGGAAATTTAAACCCTTATTTAAAACAAAGCCCTCTGATGTTTGGAGCCTATGAGCAACTTGCAGCCATTCCAACCTCTCCACAATGGATTCTTAGGCTTTGATCCTCTAATAGGCTCCTGGTGCTCACTGGCCCTCTCTCCCATGAACGTCCCCCACAAGCCCTCACTCTTTCACAAGATATCGTCCCCCTTGTATTCCTTGGACAGGCTCCTAGTGATTATTCCAATTAATTCCAAGTAGCATGAGAGAATTCT